GTTTGCACAAGCAGCTAGTTAGTGTGATGGGGCGATAGTCTTGAGGGAGGGTACCTGATTTATTGGGTTTCAGGAAGGGGAGGATAAGAGTTTCTCGCCAATGAGAGGGAAAATTTCCTGATGTCCATATTTGGATGTAAATTGTTAATAGGAAATGATAAGGAGGAAGATGGGAGTTGCCGGAGCATACAGTAGTGAATACCGCCAGGGCCTTCATGAGTGTTGCGGCACGATTGTAGGGCAGTAATAAGTTCAGAGGAAGAAAATGGAGCATTATAGGACTTAGCGGAGGATAGGGTGTAGATAATGGGGGTACGTTCCCTGATGGTCTTAATAGAAGAGAAGTGTGGAGAAAGGTGAGAACCACTACTGACCTGGCTGAAATAATCACCCAGTTCATTAGCGACTTGGAGAGCATCAGAGATGAGGGTATCACGAATATGGAGGACGGGGGCTGGATGGGAGAGGGGATGTTTGCCTGATAGTTTACGGATTCGGCGCCAAACATTTGAGATAGATGTAGAGAATGTAATTGATGAAACATAATTTCACCAGCTATTTGTTTTACTATTCCGGATTGTACGACGAAGACAGCCACATGCTCTCTTAAAGGAGATAAGGGCTGATAGTTGATTTTGGGTACCTCGTTTGTAGCGGTAACTGTTCCAGGCTGCACGTTTTAAGCGAAGTGCTTTAGTGCAATCAGAATTCCACCATGGAACACATTTGGAGGTATAGGGCCTTGAGGTTCGAGGAATAGCTGTATGGGCAGCTCTTAGGACTGTAGTTGTGAAACATTGTATCATTTCTGAAATGGATGAGAGGGAGGATGGAAGGATACGAATAGCAGAGAGTGAAGTGAAAGTACGCCAGACGGCTCTATCAAAGCACCAGCGTGGGGAGTTAGGAAGTGGTACATATGAAGTAGGAGAAAGGAGAACTGGAAAGTGGTCTAGAGCTGACCAGTGGAAATCTAAATGAAGAGAAGGGGAGCATAGAGAGAGATCAATGCATGAAAAAGATTGCGTGCGTGTATCAATGTGTGTGGGGCGATCTGAATTTAGAAGAATAAAGTCAGCTGTGGAGAGGAAGCGTTCTAGAGATCGGCCACGGGAGTTGGTGATAGAATCACCCCAAAGAATGTGGCGGCAGTTAAAATCACCTACTATGAGGAAAGGTGGTTGAAGATGGGGAATTAGATTTTCAAAAGTCAATGGGTTGGGAAGGGGAGAAGTAGACTGAAATCACTGTGATCCAGCTGCGAAGAAAGTTACGATTAACTGTGCAAGGGGCAGTGGTTTGAAAGGGAGTGTGTGTGTGAGTGTGGGGAAGAAACGAAATGGTAATTGAGGATTGGTACCGGAGGATGTGTAAGAAAAGTCTCTTGAAGGCATATAATGGATGGGTTATAAGAGGAAAGGATATGACGAAGGTCGGGTCTACGAATATTCTAATGAAGGATAGTTATACTTTCGTTGATTTAGTGATAACGACTGTAGTACGTGTTGGAGAATTTGAAGGGGAAGGAGCTAGAGGGTGGGATAAGGAATGATAGGGGGAGGTGGTGTTGTATCAGGAGGGGTATTAGGAGGTGGAGGGTCTGGGGAAAGGGATACTTGTGATATAAGGGATTCACGTGTGTATCCAAGAGGGAGTGGAAGGGAAAGAGGGGATGGTGGGAGGGTTAATGTAGGCGGGGCTGGCGTCGGGGGAGATGGGCTCTGTTGAGAGGGGGTAGGAGGATAGGATGTAGTGGGGATATGGGTAGAAGGAGGATGGATATCGGCCGTCACTTTGAGTGTGGAGGGAGCGGGAGCTGTATAATTTGAAGGTGGATGAGTGTCAGTTTGGGACTCGATTATGTAGTTTTGAATATCTTCAAGAGTTTCTGTAATGGAGTTGGTTGGGGAGTTTTGTGAGATAAAGGTTTTCTTGTGAGGGGGGGGGAGAGAAGACTGGTGCCTGAAGAGTAGGGGCAAAGGAAGGTGGAGGTGATTGTGTGGTAGGAGAAGAGGGGGTGGAACGTTTATTCTGTCTGTTACGGGTAGTGCGGGGCTGTAGTAGAGATTAGAGTGTCTGGATTAGGATGGCAAAAGAACTTGACTGGGGAAGGTAGGAGGTAGAAGAGGGGAAGTTAGATAGAGGGTGTAGGAGCTTAGGGGGTAGGCGGTGTGGCAGAATGAGCGACATTACTGGAGTAGGGAGTAAGAGAAAAACCTCGTCGACGTGTCTCCTGTCTGTCTCCTGTACAGTGAGTCCAAGTCTGAATCTGAGAGTTGCTACCTCAGACTCAAATTTGTAGGTGGGGCAGCCCCTCTAAAATACATCAGTTGGCACATGTGCGTGATTGTGCAAAGCAGTTTGATCGAGTATGGCCAGGTTGGGCACATAGTGGGCATCTGGCTGTGGAACGGCAATGTTTGACTGGGTGTCCTAAACGCCAACAATTTTGGCAATGACGAGGAGGTTGGTATGGTCGGACAGGGAGGGATTCTCCACCTATGTAAACATTAAAGGGAAGGTCATGTCTACGGAAAGTAATTTTGGCGATGTTAGTGGGTTTCTTACGATGACCTCTGGGAGGAATGGAGTAGCATTGTACTGATGTCGCATCACAGTCCGTGAGACAATCTAACCAATCTTTGTCATAGATTGGGCAATTTGCGGGGGAGATAGAAACATTTCCGATGCAAGTATTGAGGGTTGGATGGGGTTCTGCAGGGATGGGATCACCATATAGATCAGTTAGATTTGATAATGCTATAACTTGATTTTCAGATGTTACTGTGACGAGACGGGAGCGGACGGGTCGGCTACAGAAAGAGACTTTGCCTACTTGTTTTTGGAGACATTTCTGGAAGAGAAGGGTGATGTCAGAGTAGGGAGCTGTGGTTGGGATCATGAAAAATCGGTCCCATTTGGCTGGGATAAATAGAGTATTTAAGATTTTTGTAGAAATAGGGGTAGTAGAAGGGCGGGGGCGTGTAGAGGAGGGAGTAGTGTTGAGCGAGGTAATGTTATGGAGAGGTGGGCAATAAGGCTGTAAAGGGAGGATGAGGTAGTTGATGAAGAAGGTTGTGGGGGTAGAGGTGTTGAAGTTGAGCATGTTGGGAGAGTAGAAATGTCTCCTGGGGGTTGAGTGTTGACTAGGGTGGATACTGTACTAGTAGGCATTGTAGTGTTCAGAGCAGTGGTCAAAGGAAAGCCTGGGGTCAGGGAATCAGGAGAGTTTGAATTATTGGGGCTATTTGATGAAGGGGCAAGCCTCATTGCCCCTAATAGTGGGATTACATCTTCATTATTGGCCATGCTAAGCCTGCAGTATTGGGGAGAAAAACAGTCCACCCCTCAGGGTCCCCTTGAGGGGTAAGGGCTAGATAACTAAAGCAGGGGAATACCGTGCTCATGGCTCCCTCAGGCCGTTCAGGATTGGCATAAAGTCAGCCTTTCATCCTTTCAGCACAGCTCTCACACCTTGGTGAAGGGACAGAAACGAAAAAGTAGGAGTGGAAAAAAGACCATGCAAAATTAGTTGAGTCGAGGGCTGAGTCCCAAGGTTGGGGAGTTCGTCATCATTTGGTCCCAGTCTACGTCTCCTAAGCCCTCCCACGACAACAACGGGCAAGGGATTGGGAGGGCTAATAAGGGTATAAAGTCTTCATTACTGGCTAGGGTAAGCCTACCCCTCAAGGAGACCCCTCAGGGTCCCCTTGAGGGGTAAGGGCTAGACAACTAAAACACAGGAAAACCATCCCCATGGCTCCCTCAGGCCGTTCAGGACTGGCACAAGGTCAGCTTTTCATCCTTCCAGCTTGTGTTGACAGGGGGTGTAGTAGCAGTGGTCAGAGCTGTGATCAAAGAGGAGTCAGGGGTTGGCAAACCAGGGTAGTTAAGATTCTGAGAGGCTAGTTGATAAAAGGGTAAGAAATACGTGGTGAGGATAAAAGGTCCATCTCTCAGGGTCTCCATGACGCATTACCCAAGGGAATACCTTGTCCATGGCTCCCTGAGGCTGCTCATGACTGGCACAAACTCAGCCTTACATGCTTTCAACACACCTTTTACACCTTAGGAATTGGACAGGGGAAGGGGTTGAGGAAAATAAGGAAAAGGAAAGTAGAAGAAAAAACGTAAATTAGTTGAGTCAAGGGCTGAGGCCCAAGTAGGGGAGACTCCCAACATTCTCTGTCTCCTAACCCCCTAGGACAACATGCAAAAAATGGAGGGGGGTATTGGCCATGGTAATCCTAGAGCACGTTGGGGAGAGAAACAGTCCACCCTTCAGGGTCTCCCTTGAGGGGTAAGGGTTAGATAACTAAATGGGAATACCATAGCCATGACTTCCCCTGGCTATTCAAGTCAAAATTTCATCCTTTCAACAAGGCTCTCACACCTCTGGAAGTGTATTGTAGAAGGGGGTTAGAAAAGAGAAGGAAACAAAAAGGGGGTGGGAAAAAGACCTTGCAAAATTTGTTGTATCGTGGGTTGAGGCCCAAGTCTCCGTCTCTTAAGCCCCCCTATAACACGAAGAAGCAAGGGATTGTGGAGGATAAAGACAGCACTTCAAAATTCCTATGACTTTTCCCCATATATATTCAGAGGCTTCATATACTGTTAAAACACTGAAACATACAATAACTGTCTGCCAAACCATGTGCCATGAAGATTGTTCACATTAAGCTTTTATATAACAGGAATGGATGTGGGAATAATATATTCCTTCATTTATAGCAATCCTTTCATTATTAATGTTTTAAAGTTTGTACATTGCATTTATGCTTTATCTATACTCAACTGATATTTCTTCAGAAAAACTATTCAGAAGAACTGAAAAATAAATGTGACACTAATAAAAATGCCTGCCTCCTTCAAAGTTTTTACTGTCATGAACCCTTTAAAATAGAGATGCTTTTGTGCTCTTAGCTTTATACGTCATATCTGCTAAGTTGAATGCAGCCATACTGTACTCTTTTAAAATATGAGGGAAAAATAAAACAACATTTATTTTCCTTTCTGACAGCCTTTATCATCATCACATGCTTGATCTTTCCATTAATTTTCTTTTCTTTATATCTTTCCAATATCTATTTTTTACCTTAAACATTAAAATCACACAATTTCAGTAAATTGTTGTGATTACCAGAGAACATTTGTTTTTTCATGAAATGAAGGCATTTCCTAATTCGAAATATATCTTAGTGGACTTCCATCCCCTATTTTTTTCAATAAACTAATTCATTTTAAACTTGAACAGTTATGAAAATAGAACTCCTTATCATAAAATTCAAAATAGCCCTAACATCATATTAGCATCATATTCACTTAGCCTAATGTTTCAAGTATGAATACATCTGTAAGACCTAATCAGCCAGAAAGGTTCAAATTTATTCAATCAGTTCACAGTGCACTTATATGTGTATGAGTTTGCATGTGAGTGTGCATTATTGTGTAAGTGCATTTCCATTTGTACGTGCATGTTCATGTATGTGCATGTGTTTGTGTTTGCATGTGTGTGTGCAAGTCTCACTCAAATGTTAAGCAGTACCACTGCCAATCAATGTGAGTGTTAATGTACATGTGAGTGTGAGTGTAAGTGAGTCTGAGCATGTGTGTCTGAGCTGTGAATGAGTGTGAATATTAGTATGAGTATGAGTATGAGTATGAGTGAGAGTATGAGAGTATGATTGTGAGTATGAGTGTGAGTGTGAGTAATCATGTGAGAGTGAGTGTGGACGTAAGTGAGCGCATGTATGTGCACGTGCTAGTGTCAATCAAGTGTCAATATTATATCACATATTGGGATACAAATCTTAGAATTCAATCACAAATATAAATTGAAAACTTAGCACTAATCATATCATCCATAACAGAAATAGTATTAAGTTCAAACAGTTAAGGTCTACAAGAAGAGAAAAAATGGAGTCCTGAGCAGGTCCATGCAGCAGCCATCAGGTCTGTGCTCTCCTCCCTACTTTAAATTTTCGATCAAATCAATAGATGCTTTGTGGATATTTGAAAATATACAAGTGAATTTTGCACACAAGACAGATTTACTAGATTACCTAGAAAAAATAATCAATTCAAATGCCAATTCATTCCAAAATTCCAAATTTAGTCAGTGCACATCTAAATATGGTGGAAAGAGATATAACAGGATTACTCTTTTTTACTGGAAATTTACACCTGATAGTAAATTGCCCTTCAAGGAGGTTGGAATATTAAACTACAGTATTTAATTCTAGGAATGATTAATGCTAATATTATGCTGCTAGAAGAAGTAACACCTATACAGTGCATCTTTTAACCATACAAGCTGCTTTGTTGTATAATGCATATGCAACTAGTAGAAAGTATAGTAACCAAACCTATGGCAATCCATAAAAAACACTCTTGCTGGATTATGCATTTTGCATAATCCACTATAATTTCATTTTATAAATTACGTTTACACAGAAATGGCTCCATGAGTACTTATTCAACAGGGAATCTATTAAGTGGCCTCCCTGATGTCAACAGTTTTGTTTTCCTTGATCTTTTTTTTTGGGGGGGAGGGTTACTTTTTATTACAGTTAGTACTGTTGATATAATCATGTTTAATAGTGTTAATATTGATAACAACATTGATAACTATAATAATAGTATTAGAAATAAAAAATCTAAAATCCCCCAAAATCAAGTATTGGGCTAAACAGGTGTGGTTAGTTAGGCCTAGTAACTAACTCCTTGGTGGCAAAGTGCTTGTGAAGCCATCTATATGTAAACAAAATTAACAAAACAAAACTAAAGTAGATAATGTACCAATGGGTTAAGTCAGAGGCTATGTAATTCATCAAACTCATGCAAACTGACTTCTATCTATCTTCAATATATAAACAAAGGAAAAAGACACTGCATTTCTAATTGTATATCTATATATAAATCTAGCCATGTAGTAACCAAATCTGTGTTCATAAGTTTTAACTACTAACTCTATTCACAGCCCACATCCTTTGAAAATATTCAACCAAAGGAAACCAATTCACATAATAATGCACATTGTAGCACCCAATGAAAGAGGCATATATTTTCACAGGTAGGTTCAAAAGAAAGCTTCATAAACAAGTCTTGTAATTACATAGACTGTTTACCCATGCTAATCTAGTGTTTACTTAGTTCTTTACTCTGCAAGATTTCTCATTTTCTTAAAATGGCTTCATGCTTTAACACTATGTTACATAAATACAAGCAATATATACTTGCCTGAGCAACATTACTTCAGATATAGTTGAGCCATAAGGATACACTATCTAATATTAGCTGGTTAATATCACAAAACACACACTATTCATCCATTTAGAAAATAATGCATACTCTGCACTACAAAACTACAATTATTTCTCCACATATTAAATGCTATTTGTACACATGCTTGGCACTAATTATGCTTCATAGACAGCTCAATCTCAACAATAAAATTGATTGTTCTGTTCAATATTAACAATAAAATCAAGTGCCTATCTCACATTTACTCATGTTTATTCTATACTTCTCATTAGCATAGTTTTCTTTATAGTATTGGACTGCTAAACACAAGAGTTATATATCCTTTGGTGGCTCATACTCAGTTGCCCTGAGGAATTTCAAACCGTCCCCAGTGAGAGGTGATGGTATAAAGGGGGAAATCCAAGCAATTCTCCATCTCCTGCCCAATACATCAACAATATTCTGGCGCAAACTCAGATTGTAGTCGTGTATGTTGTGCTTCATCTCATACTGAGTCTGCCCCTGACATATGGCCTTAGCCTGCATCAGTAATAAGTACGACACCATTAGGAGAGTGGCAAGACCAAGCGTGTGCAAAGTAGCTACAAGGACACCCCACAAATTTATGGCTCCAAAAAGAAGAGCAAAATGTGGAGCAAGTAAACAGAGGAAAAAATACATGACTGGGAGATTTATCGTTTCATACACATACTCCCATTGATAGTAAATTCCATACAAAGCTCCAATAAATATATAAAAGATTCCCATCAAAAAGTAACGGTGGTTATGGTAGCCAACACAGCAACCTGGAAAAAAAAAAACATATAATGAAAGTTTCAGATTATAATTCTGAGATAATTTCATTAAACTATTATAAGCAACAACACTATATCTTATTTTGCATAAATGTTTCAACCCACAAAGTAGGTGTGTTCTACATTTAACCATACTCTGGTGAGGACACAGCAAACAGAACAATTATTCAACAGGACACAAGAAAATCACGGATGTTTTTAACTCCATAATGTAAATTCTAACCCAATGTATCAGGATGATGTGACCATCATGTCATGAAAAGAAATGGCTAATGGCCAGGTGACAGGAATATGCTATCATTAAAAATTTGGCTGATGGCTTAGGGGCCTGGAATGACTCGTCATAAGAGAATAGACTCAGTGAGCAGTTAGGAAGAAGCTCTTAAATAATTTCTTCTAGTAAATGAGTATGGCATGTACCATCTGCAGTGTATGTTACAGAAATTTTTATACCAAAATATAAAAAATTACACAAATGTCACAATGTTACTGACTGTTATTGTTCTTGCACAGAGTTGTAGCCTACCTAGACATAATATGGAGTCTGCTCAATGAAAACTGTCTATTATCATCATGATACAGTAAATCTAATGAAATGAATGGACCTTTGAAAATATCACAAAAAAATACTTGAGCAGAAAAAAATGAGATTGCAAAGGGGAGGTAAGGATTCTTGATACCACACAGAAGTGTTCATGAGAGCCAAACCAAAAAGCCACACACAGGAGTGTCACCACTCAAGAAAGTTTAATGCCCAGATTTTGGTCAGGGTGTGGGTTCCAAAGCACCCCGATATAATGGATTAATTAACAGATACCAAAAATACAACTTAAAAGTTCAGAAGTAGTAGATAGCTTCTTTTTAGTATTTATGAATGGTAAAATCTAGAAATCAGAGTCACAGATCTATATAATCAAGTCAACAATATTTTTCATGTTGCCATAAATTTTCCTATAATATTAATTCAAAATATAATTTACTTTTTTCTTTCACAATAAGGGTGAAAGAGTCAAACCATGTTATATTACAATGCTATATCAGGTAGCTAAGCTATCTTGGTATTTTAAGCTTAAGATACTGAAATAATAGTAGTATAACTTTGGGGAATTTATCTTGTTCAAAAAGTTCTTATGATGGCAAGGGTCCATAATGCGTTCATCATTTCCACCACTTAGTTTTTACTCAGTTTTTGAAATAAATAACAACAATTTACATTTCCTCAGAACATCCAGTATATCCACTGATCTTTTTGCTCCTTATTACAATGATAACATATTTCTGGTGACATGCAAAATCAAAGAGAAATGACCTTGTCTAGGCCTTTTTATCTTATTTCTAAAGTTTGAGCTATTCGGCCTCCTTGCTTGAAAAACAGGAAGTGATTACATGAATTAATATACCTTGTCATCGGGGTTCCACAGCATCATTAATATGGATTATAATAAGAATCACATAGCAGTGATGCTTTCGTGGGGATCACTGGTATCATTCAACTATCACTATATACTTTTGTCTTTAAAGCATATTTCTGATATATACTATTTTCAGTGAATTGTAAATTATTTATTAGTGGATAGAGGAACTAAAACAAATAAATAAGTGATGTAATGCATCATAATAATATTTCAGCAGAGACACTCAGACAATGAAGGGGAGGTTAACCTGTAAGTACTCTAATAACAGATATTATTATGAACAGTGCAGCCTTTAGTTGTTTGCATGTTGTTTTATTCTTAGGCATTCCCTTCTGCACTTCTTACTTTGTAAAATAAAAACAGGTCATATATCTAGGCTAAAACATATAACCATGGAGCCATATGCAAGCCATATTCAAATGCACAAAGGCACAATTGTTACTGGTACTTGTAAAAATTCATGTTTGAACATATGGATTTTCTAACAATCATTTTTAGGTTTTTCCTTTCTTTAATAATTTCTCATTACATTTCACATAAATTAATACATATTTCATATACAAATGTATGTTGGACATATTCTTAAGTATGTTGAAGGGTAATATTGCAATAAAATGTTGCAGGAGCAACACACTGGTTAAAGCTAATGCACATAACCTACTTGAACTTCACTACTTCCCTTATTTTTTGACTACAATATAATCTTAATATTAGCAAAGTAAATAAAATATTGACTTCCATCAGATCTAGATTTAGTTCCAATCTAATATGAGTGAGAATACAAATGATTACTTGCATCAATAAAAAAAACTACTTATTCTTTGATATCAAATTATATGTTCTTGTTTGAAGTGGTTCAATAATATTTACATAAAAATGATGTCACTAAGTACAGTTATAAACCAGTTCTCAGATCCACACCTCTAACTTCTTGATGAGCAGTCAGGCAGGTGAAAGTCTGACACATCAGAAATATTTTGTGTGATTCATCTTGTCTACTCAGGAGCTAGATTTTGGGACCATTCTTGCATTAAACTAAATATAATCTATCTGGGTTATTTCTTTCTTAAAAATGAATGAATGCAAAAACAATTATGAAAAATACATAAAATAGGGTTCAAGAAGTGAACAGTGAGTACGTAATATTTTGCATTAAATATCAAGAACATAACATGGAACAGCCCAGTATCAAAAGTACCTGTAAATTTGCAGTGGTGATCCCTCTTTAGTATGCACTCATCACATATATGGCAGTGATATGACCTCGGAGGGTAATTCACTTGACAAATTGCACAGTACCTCCAACCTGTAAATACATATGTTGACATTAAAAAAGTAGTAGAAGTATTAACAATGATGATGATGATGATGATGATGATGATGATGATGGTGATGGTGATGGTGATGGTGATGATGATGATGGTGATGGTGATGGTGATGGTGATGGTGATGGTGATGATGATATGATGATGATGATGATGATGATGATGATGATGATGATGATGATGATGATGATGATGATGATGATGATGATGATGATGATGATGATGATAATGATAATGATGATGTTGATGACTGATACAAACACTAATACTTCCTATGCTTTGCTTGATACTGAAGAAAGAGCTTTCCTTAATTAATTCAACATGCTGATACTGAAAAGGGATTTACAGGATAAAGATGTGACCTGCATCACAAGTCAAATATTATGCTATTAGTAAAAATATCCTCACCAGGTTTGAGCACAGAAGGCAGAAAGGAGGTCCTTCCACTGGCATCTGTCCTTATTACAAGGAGAAGATTGTGGAATATGTTGTAGGTGACAAAAACCACTGCAATAATGTGAATCACTACAATGGAGTTCAACTCATCATGGTAATGTGGCAGTATAACAAATCCCAGCCAGAAGACTCCAAATGGTATGCCTATTACCATGAAAAGAAACAATGCTTTATCTGTAGCATTGCGTGGGATTATTGTTGTACTCTTGCCCATGTTTACTGTACCTGAAAAAAAAATGTATATTCAATAACAGACAATACTTGGCAGTTTTTACATGTGTGTAAAGGGGGGGGGGATGTGACATAGGTTTATGAGTATGTGTGTTCATGTTGGTGTGTGGATGTGGGTGTGTAGGAAAATTATTGTAAACACAATTTCAATTTGGGCCTAAAAGTGGATACCTTACCTGTGGAGTGTGCAATTCTCTTTTTGACAACATCCCTTGGTATACAATTATCACCCGAAATCATGATCTTTTACATGAGTTATTTTTTTTATCACAAGCTTCAAGATGAATATTTAGAGCATCTTCTTATGAGTAGTTATTGTAATCTTATTCTCTTTTTTTTCTTTTTGATTTAGTGCAACTGGAGTTGTGGCCAAGGATTCTCCCGAGTCATGGATTACAAAATATAGTGAAGGAAATTATGTAAAGTATGTTCAATAAAGAAAGTAAAACAACAAAACTTACAACAAAGTTATGGAAAAAAATCAAATACACTCTGTAAATGCTATAATAATAGCATAATTCATAATATTTAGTGGGAAAATTTAACTTTTCATCCTAGAATTTGCTAACAAAAACTAAGGAGATATATCATATACCAAAGGTAGCCTTGGTAATTCTACAAAAGGGAAATATAATACATAAGCTAATCACAGGATATAGTAAATAAGACAGTATATTCCCCATATCTAAAGAAAAACATGAACATGAAAAAGCTATGGTTCCCTAATCTTTTGTTCACTTAAAATTATATATAATGATAAAACAGAATATCAAAACTTGAGCATGAAGTCCCAAAGGCATTATTTCTAGATAATATTTTATTTGAATAGGCCAAAGAAAAAAGTAAAATAAAAAATAAATAACATAGGGGAAAATCTACACCCAGAGACTGATTATGGATTACAAGATAATTTTAATGTAATGGATAAATTGGATGAAAATAAATATTGAAAGTCACTGATATTTAATGTAAACATGGAAGCATGTTTGCACACAATTAAAGACATTTACAGTATA